CCTTCCTTCCTTCCTTCCTTCCTTCCTTCCTTCCTTCCTTCCTTCCTCCTTATTTTTCATCATTATTTTTTTTCCCCTACAGTATTTCTCATCACTCCTAATTTATTCACCCTTTGGAGTCATGCAGCACATCAAACAAACAAAAAAATGATAGCCATTACAAATGGAGGCAGCTCTATCATTTGCTATGCTCACCTGGGATAAAAAGCCTTCCATAAAGCAACAACAAAGTTCAGTGCACAAAAGTAGCCTATTTTTAGTATAAGAAATGTAATGGTACTGAACTGTTACTTTAGTAACAGTAATGTAAAGTCTAATACGTGTTACACGGAAGGTAAACCAAGTCACTTCTGTATGTGCTGCAGTTGTAAAGAGGTAAGAGACTAAGAGTTTATCATTCACTAACCTTTTGTCAATTTTGGAAGTCACCAAGTAAACATGAATGTAATCTTTGAATTACCCTGCGATGGCTTTAGGGCATCTTAGGTTCCAGCTTTTTTTAGGAGATTAGCTTTATCACTGACTCCCATCAAAGCAGTGGCCAGATTTGAGCCTTCTTAAAGTGAGAGATCAGACAAACTCAGAGCCCAGGGCGTACAGACTCGGATTGTATTGCCACCTCAATTATAATTAAGGCTATAAAAAAAACACTGATATAGAGCAGTAGGTCTTTCCATAAAGTTCTCTAGGAATGCGTATTGTGTTCATCAGAGATTTTCCACACACCAAGCACTGTAAATGGCTACTCTGATTTTGCAAGTCATTGGCATATATTTGCCTCAGAGAAAAGACGAACAAATATGTATGTCTATCATCACCACTGCAACACTGCTGGAACTATCCTGCTTCTAAATAAGAAATAGTTCATCCTTTCATCTCTTCTGAAATAGAGATCGAACCCCCACTTCTCGAACATGCAAGGTTTCCAGTTAAGTCAGTGTGATTTTTTTGTGAGTGAAGCATGGAGGATCCCTCTTCTCTCAAACCTTTCTGGTTCAAAAGAAATGTCGTGCACTGCTGCATCACAGGAAAGGGAGAAAGGGGGCTGCGCAACACAGGGAACCTCTCAAACGCAGTGTAAAAAAAATGTATATATATATATTTTTTCCTTCCCTCTTCTGTACCATTGATTTTCCTTTTTTTTTTTTTCCTTTTTCTTTTCTTTTTCTCTTATTCTAGAAAATATACAGCAAAACCAGAGCCATAATTGGGTTTGATTTCATTTCTTTTATCTTATAAATAAGCTTTCTCTGAATGCAGATGACATATTTAAGAATCCTGTGCAATGGCTGAATGTCTGAGTATGTTTTTAAATGAATCCTTTGCCACCTATAACATGAACATGTAATGTGTATGAGAACATAGAAGAGGAAATGGGCGCACAGGCTAAGGTGCAAGAGTAACCCCTGAAATGAGGCATTCCTACGTTTTGTCTATCATCCTTCTGCATGCCCCTGGAGTTCTGGAACTTGGTGCTAATTAATTTCAGCTGAAATTATTCCCTACCCACTTGTGAAGGGAAGATAGACAACAATTCAGATTTATGGGAATGGAGAACAGTGGTTATGTTAGATGCGGTGAGATAAGTGTAGAGGCACAGCACTAATGCACATGTGTCTGTTCACTGCTTCAGCAGACACATCATCACCAACACCACCTGGTTCATCTGCTTTCTGCATAGAAAGGTGTGAATTTAATGCTAATGTCACTTAACATCAGCAGTATGGAGGAATAATAAGACAAAGATACACCCGGAAAGGTGTTACTGGCAGCAAATGACACAGGGTGGGTGTTTGAATGTGGGAGCAAATGGTGGGATGATGGGACCAGTGCCAGCAGCCAGCAATTCTGAGTGAGTTCTAAAGCACTGGGGGAAACCACTGCTCCTGAAGGGACATAGAATACTCAAGGTATCCATGATGCTACCTGCCCCATGCTCTGTTGCTCACACCATTTATAGAGCATATACTGTATAAAATATTGCACTTGGGAGGAGTGGCTGACATGCCAGAAGGCTATGCTGCCATCCAGAGAGACCTGGACAGGCTGGAAAGTTGGGCAGGGAAAAATTTAATGAAATAAAACAATGTCAAGTGTTGCATCTATGCAAGATCAACCCCAGGTACTAGAATAGGATGGGGACTGATCTGTTGGAGAGCAGCATAGGGGAAATGGATATGGGGGTCCTGGTGGACAGCAGGAGCCAGCACTGTGCCCTTATGGCCAAAAAAGCCAATGGCATCCTGGGGAATAGGTGTGATTAGAAGGGGTGTAAATAGTAGGTTTTGAGAACTTCTCCTTCCCCCTACTCTGCCCTG